AGACCAGTGTCCATACTCCCAGAATTCTCTGCAATGGCCATGCTGGCTGGAGAATTCTGGGAATTGAAGTCCACGCATCTTCAAGCTGCCAAGGTTGAGAAACACTGCTCTAGAGGAACATGGATCAGCACGGAGAACAGGGAGCGAAAGAAGTCAACAGCCTAACCTAGGCAGTGTCCCTGAGGGCCCAAATGAACTTTGACAACCTATTTTTTTCCACCCTCATCCCATGACTTTGCCATCATCTCGTCCCCAGCTTTGGAATAAAACTTCTTCCATCCTCCATTCCAGAAAATAATAGAAGAAATGCCGGGGCAGTAGACCAAACGCCCTGAAAGAAGGTGAAGGTAAAGCTCTTCCAGACGGTTGCCTAGAAAACTACTCCATGCTGGGGGTTGAGGTCAGTTTGGGGAAAATGTGTACTTTTCAGTGCCATTCGAATAACAGAAATGAAGTATCAGCTGCTAATAAAGAGCCCATATTTTTTCTTGTGGTTCTTATTTATTTGTCACGTTTATATAGCCGCCCATCTCACACAAAGCGACGTTGGGCGGCGTACAACGATGAAATAAAACAACAAATAGCTAAAAACAATGATAAAAAGAGATTATTAAAATGAAAACATTATCAACAGTTTTTAAATATACAAACATGGATACCTTGCAGGGTTGTTGCGGGGAAAAATGGGAGTGCTATATAGGTCACCTCCAACTCAGAAAGAAAGGCAGGATATAAATCTTTTAAGAAGGAGAAAAAAAAGTGGATCATTAGCAATATAGGCTCCAGAGATTCCACTGGGGCAAACCAGTCAGCATGATTTATTTCACAATATGAATATCATTTCTTCAAGTTATATCTTGCCTTTCTATCCACAGGGCGTTCTAGGCGGTTAACAACAGGAGAGTAAACGTAAAGAGACTCTGATGAAGCAGAAGCCTGGACTAGATAAACCCTTGATATGAACCCAATTTTTCTTTTTCTTTCATTTTTAAAAAAATTATTAGGCAGACTCTCACCTGATTCACATGCTGAAGCAACTCAGTACAATCAAAAATCATTAAGCAAATCATGATTAAGCCAATTATGACTTAGAGTAGGTTTTTTTCCCCAGTCTTGGTAACTCCCAGGACTTTCAGATACAGCAGAGAATTCACACAGGAGAGAAACCGTACGGGTGTTAAAAGTAGGAAAAGAAATTCAGTGGGAAGTCAAGCTTTCAGATACATAGACGTTGCCATGGAGGAAATGAAGACATGAACATATGTTGGTCAGTCAAGATTCCTTCAGGAAGAGAGGGGAAAAGGCCCACGGACATCCAGAAGGAGGACTCTTCGGCATGGTTGGATAAAATCTTCCTTGAAAAAGAACCAGAAGGCATAAAAATATATAGGGAGAATCTTGATGCTGCCCCAAGGGCAATGTTTTTCAACCTTGTCAACTTTAAGATGTGGGGACTTCAACTCCCAGAATCCCCCAACCAGCAGTTGCAGCCATGTTTCTCCCCCAACCATCAGGAGTTGGCTTCAAAAACCTGGAGAATCATTGCCTAAATCTGGGCCATTTTTATGGCTAGGAAGTATGGAACTCCCTGCTTAATTATTTGCATTTAGCTATATCTCGTATGTTTCAGTTGGATGGCTTTAATTCCATTTTTTGGAAATCACGTTTGGGAGAAAGTATCTGAGATGCACCTCCTGAAATGGGCCACTTGTATCAGATAAGGCCTTTGGAACTCCTTGCCTCAGGTTTGTGGATCAGTAGCAATTTTATTTTGAACTTGTCAAGAGATGGTTTTAGAAGCTTTATTCAACTTACTTCCCATAATGATTTCAGGTTATCTAGGTTATCTAGGAAACAATTAGACATGGTTGTCTTCTGCCAGGGAAATGACTGTTACCTTTTTCCTGAAATAAAGAAAGCGGTTGGTCTCTTCTGCTTGTGGTACAACTGAGAAATGTTACGGATGAATCCTGAATCTTTGCAGAGAAGAGCGGAAGAATGTGGGAGGGAAGGAAACGTTTCTGTAATTTCTCCATTATTCAATTGAAATATCGCCGGGGCGGTTCGTTTTGCTACTTTTGAGATGGTTTACTGTTTGTTGCTTTCCACGAATTTGTTTCCTAATAAAAAGTCAATGCTTAAATCTTTTTTTTTTTCCTTGCAAATGCTCAGGGCATAAATATCTACGCAGGTTGGTAACATTTGATAGAAAGGATATTGCTTAGGTCTGGTCACTGCAAAACCATCTTGGGCCCAGACGGATTGCAAGAAAGGAATGGCTGCTTGTTATATTTCCCTTACAACATCATAAATCCTTATTTCAAATACATGTAGAGTAAAACGCCTGCATTAAATTTCAGGTATGTTTTTATTTTACACTTCGTAGTCCTTTTTTCACCCTGGTTCCAAAAAGTGAAAGGGGAGACTCCAATTTTTAAATCTGTCCAGGAAATAAAAAACATTATACACACTTTCTCATAACAAGAACTTTTCTAACCGGTTGGACTCACTTCTAGCACAGAAAATGGAGGTTAATCTGATTTCAAAATGCAATTGGTAGTAAATCAAGGTCTGGATTATGATAGCCACAAATGGGTTATGCTAAATGATAGTTTCTTTAAGGATAGCTTCTTTAAAAAGACATTATTGGCTGTGTTTGGACATTGTAACCAAGCCCTAAATAATGGTTTACCAAAGAGTGACTGAGTCCATGTAACAAGCTCAGCAAAAACCAACAACCCAGATAATGGTTTAGTTTTGACCAGATAAAATGAAACAAGATTTCAGTAGAAACCACCTTGAACCCTTGGAGAGAAGATGAAGTATGAATCCAATGAGCTAATATTTTCCCCAGGTCCAAGTAAGCCAAAGTTTAAACCAGGATCAGGGTTGAATCACCAAGGTTTCTAGACACACCATGTAAAGCACAGCACTGCCATAGATCGTGAAGACAGGGAAGGCAGGCTGGGTGAATAATTAGATATTTTGGTTGAACGGGAGCAACTTCCCCCTTGGTTCACCTTGATTTGGCTTCAATTGTTTGGGTTGTATCCAGAAGCTGGATGTAGGCTGAGGTGCCAGGAGAAAATTGTGCAAGCTGAGCAAATAGCCAGATATTGAGCAATTATTTGGCTGAGTATGGCTGTGGGTTACCTATCTTTTCTCCTGCTCCATTCTTTGGGCAGCAAAGAGCAGTGACTTGCAAGAAAAACAGATCTATGCGTTTCATTCTACAGGCGTGATCAAGCCCTCCAACTTTCAACTGCATGGTTTTTCCGCAAGGCTGATGCCGCTAACCGATGTTTCATCAGAGGATGTTCACCCAGCATTGTCGCAAGCTTGTCTGGTGGTGACTTCAAGCTGGGAATGTGGGGTTATTGTCTGTTTTTCTAAGATATTGGCTGGTGATTGGAGCAGCAAACCTTTTCCCAGAATAATCTGAAAAGTTCACTGGAATGTTTGGGAAAATAAAATGAACTGCTCTGAACAGTCTGAAGGGGAGTTCAAGGGAAAGAGGAAATGGAAGAAGTTATTCTCCGAAATTTATCCCATGCGGTCCATTTCATTTCCTCATCGTTCTGTTTAAACAAGATGGTGTCGTTGAATGAAAAAACAACCCATACAAAAATTTAACTGCAACCCAGTCCATGCAAAAATTCACATTTGTCCCCATCCTGCTGAATTCTTATTTCTCTTAAAATGTATACTTCCACATTTATTTTATGCATATGAATCTACCCAGTAGGTTGGCAATGAAATGCATGTACATGAACACAATGATTTCATCTTCTGCCGGTGCTGCTGCTGAAAAGCGGTTCACAGAATACTGCTGTCAGGTCACAGAATTTGCAGAAGGTGAAATCATTGTGCAGAAGGCTGGCAGTCGTACCTGTATGTGATATTTGAAGTTATGTGGATCTTAGGAAAAGTCCCACTAGCGTATTGCAACCTTTGGAGAAACATAATAGCCAGATCACAACTTTTGGAGAAGCGAGGTAGGCATGTTATGACCTTCCAAGGAAGTCTAGTTGCCTTGTTATGATGTACAGAGAAGGGCATTTACCTTGCAGTGTGCGGAGAAGCATGGCCACTGTGTTGCAAAGTTTGGAGAAATGTGGCGGCTGTTTCTTAACACCTGGAAAAGCACAGAAGGTGTGCGACAACACCCAGAGAAGCACGGGTGTGGCCCATTAACATCTGGAGAAGCATGATCACAGCAGAACAACATCTCGAGACGCATGACCACGGTGCACTAACATCTGGAGAAGTGGGGTGGCGGTGCGTGCAGCATCTGGGGACACATGGTCACAGTGGGCAAGCATCTGGAAGCACAGGGCCATTCTGCATTAACATCTGGAAAAGCACGGTCATCGGGCAACATTTAGAGAAGCACGATCCCTGTCCATCAACACCTGGAGAAGCATGGCCATAATGTCCTAACGTCTGGAGAAGCGTGGTGACTGTGAATCGACACTCAGAGAAGCCCCGTTGGGGTGTTGTGTTCAGAAAAGTTTACATCACAACAGACCATGATTCCATTACCCAAACACCCAGCAAAGAGTAGAATTGCTTTGAAACATTTGTGCGCTGGAGCATATGAATGGTCAACTACAAGCCTTGCGCAAACACCATCTGTGGCCTCTTCCCTTCCTCTTCTCTGTTTGCTTACCCAACCTGCCCAATGTTATTTCCTCTGCCTTTAGGCTGTTGGCAGAAAACTCATGGAGAAGGATCGGGAGGGAGCTGAATAAGGGAGCTGCAGAAAGTGTGAAGGGTTCCTTCTTCACGCATCACTTCCTTGGGGAACCTCATGGAGAAGGACCAGCTATTCAGTGTCTTTAGCATCTTCCTCTTCTCACTGTTGTTTCTTCCTGGGTTCTCCACCACAACTCCAGAACCGTAAGTCCCTGGCTGGACGGTCCCAACCTTGTGTTTTCGCTTCCTTGCTTCTCACAAACTTTGATGCATGCAGTTCTGCAAACAGCAGCCTCGGCCAGGGGAAGTGCGTGTCGCGCAGCTTTGCCGCTACCGGGTACCATCTTGGATTGCTTGAAAAGGGGATGGAGGGAGGGGATGCGTCAAGGCGGGTCTCAGAAGCAAGGGGCCCTTGGGTGGGAGACCACCAGGAACTCCCAGAGCCGCAGTTTAGACTGGGAAAGGCAAACCAATTCTGTAAATGAGATGGAGGGGCCCATAAAATCATTAAGAGTTGAGCTCAGTTTGAAGGAAACTTGTTACCTTATCTGTATCAAAGATCACAAGGCAGTAGACCAGTGTTTCTCAACCTGGGCAACTTTGAGACATGTGGACTTCACCTCCCAGAATTCCCCAGCCAGCCTGGCTGGCTGGGGAATTC